ACACCACCACACCAAAAGAGAGGAGAAATTTATTTTCTACTGTTACTACTTGTTTAGTAATGAAAGTCTATTTTACTGTTTTCTCTTGTGTTAGTAACAAGTTACTTTCCATGCAAAAAAGACTCACAAGAAAACATAACCCGAGAAATCGATGGACCACGCTCTGTCTATCTATAAGGCATGACGCATCAAGAAACATTTTGAGCAATACTAACAAATAAAAGTCACTGCATCCGTATCATTTAAATTCTAAAAATTTGATATTCTAACAGAATGGAAGCCTCGCGGGAAAAAAAAAAAAAAACGGCAATGTAAAAGGTGATGGAGCATTGTGACTTGGTGAGAAGCAAGATAAACGGAAAGTCACATAAACAATGATCAAAGGAGTCTCCTCACAAATCCAAAAACATTCTCTCAATAGAGAGATTCTAGCTCAATACCAACCATGAGAGGATGAAAATTTCTTAAAAATATATAACAATCCTTATTGTTTGTTTATAGTTTCTTGAAATTTGATGGACATGCCGAAGAATTCAAGGCTATGAGGAACCCTTGAAATAGATTAATATGCATGGCAAATAATACTAAAAGAACTATTTACTTGTGATTACCTTGTAGAATAAAATTAAAAAGAGTTTTGATTATGTCAATTTGTAGTGGGAAATACCATCAAGATAATCAAAGAAATAGTTATCTATTCGACGTAATAAAATTTGTATTTGGACGATCAAAAAAATTCATCAAACGTTAGATCTTATTGTCTTTTTAGGATGAAATTTTTAAGAGTAACAGTTTTAATAAAGGGAAAAATATCATCTACATCTTCCTGCCTTACAAAATAGGGAAATAGGGAAAAAAAATCATATGCAGCTTTAGTAATGAGTGTATGTTTGGTTATTTATGTTGAAGACATCATAAATAAATGGAGATATTTGGTCAATTATTTGCTCATGTCTTGTATCATTCTTCTCATAAATTTTGCCAAATATAGTGCAAAAGTCTCATCTAACACTTGAAAGACAATACAAGGAGATTGATGCTCCATTATTAAAACAAAAATGATATTAAAGGCAAAATTGATGAAATAATGTTATTTTTATAATATTCACTAAAGTGATAGACATTTTAATTTTTATTAAATAATATAAATAAGATACATCATTATGTGTGATTTTTTTTTTTATAAATTTTGTTGTATTTTCTTTATAATTCTACTTCACCCAAATTGTCATATTTTATGGCCATCCTTAAAAGTCCTAGTTGGTCTTTCATTAGCTTGAGTTATGATAGAAATTTTTAGCTTATCACAATGTGGATTCTTTGGTGGTCCTTTTTCTTATCCTTGTTGGGTGTGCCTTGAGAATAATTTAGAACATTCTTTTGGCATGACAACTCTTGATTATAAGTGAATTTTCTATTACCTAAAAGACACACAATTCCATTGTTGAGTATTTTTGTTTATTTGTTGTCCATTCCTACGTTAATCTTTGCTTCACTTGTAGGCTTCAAAAAATGGACAAGAGCTGGATGATGATAACTGATAGGACAACATTCTATGGATGCTGATATGATAGCATTCTAAAAGTCACTTGTTCCTATTGGAGAGCTTGATATACATTGTTGAGCATATTTCCAGACAACTTAAGCTTTTGAGCTTGATGTATATTATTGAGCTCATTTCCTAACATCTCAAGTTTTTGGGACTAGTGGTGATCTAATAAGTTCCCTCCTATACGATCAATACAAATGGTATGTACTTGTGTCTATGTGGACCTAAGAAAGAGAGATTTATATTTTACTTTTAATTGTTTTAAATTATAACACTAAATTCTAGACCTTGTGTCCATTTCTTCTAATCGACCTTGAGATAAAGACTATGATCACTTGGACTATCTTAGCTTAAAACATCAGCGCAGAATGTTAAGTTGACCTTCTTAGCCCTGCAATCATGCATAAGGATTCTTTACTATATATTGATTCTTTTAGCTTTGATTCTCTAAGTTAAGCTCATGCAGCTGCATTCATCTTCGTATGTGCACTCAAGTCTGAAAAACTGATGATAACCGTAGGGATATTACAATTTAAGACACTAACATTTTCATGGGATTCATTAGTCTATACTTTGGTAGTCTAGTTATTGTTTAGTAGAGTAATTTGTTACTTGTTAGTTTAGTTTTATGAGTCCACTTCTGCTACATGTACTGCTTGTGATGTGAGGAACTGATGTGGTTGTTATTTTTGCAATAAAACTGCTAGATCCTTTGCCGGTCTATTGAATCAGAACCTTTTAATTTTTTCTGTCATTGTATGCGTTATAGAGAAGATTTAATTGCCTTCATATCCTTATTGTACTTGTAGTTTACTGGCTTTGTCAATGGCCTGGATTTAGGAGATTAAGTGGTAGCACTAGCAGTATGCTAACTCTTTATTGTTATTTGTTATTCTAATCTGTTACAGAGAGTGACCCATTTTAGAGTTGCTAATTTTGATTCAAGATGGCTGTTGATCCAAATATCATAGTATGTTTCATCCTATACCTCCATTTTGTAAAATATTTTATCCATATTATCATATAGCTATCTTTGTATCTATATATTTTGTTTTAATTATGACTCTAGCCTGCTGGAGCATTTGAAATACAATTTTCAGAAGGAAAACAAATCGAGGGTTCAAACATGTATACTGGTTACATTGGAAGTATACAAAGTAATATAAAAGTGGTGTACCACCTTGAGTCACAATCAAAAGATTTACAATAGTGGTACGAGTTTGCAATAAGTCACTGCAGCCCGTATTTACTGAGAGTAATTGGAAAGTGTCAAAGTAGTTCTGTTGGCAAAGAGTTGCTTTTCACAGAGCTGGTAGAAGGAACTCTACACTAGTGGGTGAAGAAAAACCCTCTTATTGATTCTGAGTATCCTGAAAGGCTGAGTAAGCCTTTTATTGGCATATTGGGGTAGGTGTATGTCTATGTCATCTTTACAATTTTTCCCAGTAATTCATTCATTTGTTTTTTTGTCTTTTCATTTAATTTTTTTTTTGTCATTTACTCTGTAGGGATATACTCAATGGCATCATATACTTCAGATGTACATTGAGACAACCACATGGAGAAATTTGTGCAAACAATGTCTACTTGGTTAATGGAAATGCCAAGTTGGGCAAAGCTCTAAATCCTAAGTGGTACGAGAAGACATTTGGGGATGACATTAACAAGTTCTGCGGTATGGTCAGGTCTCTCTTCAAGTCCAAAGGGTCTAAACTTCCCTTTGGTTTGGATCATTTGTGCAGATACTTGCAAAAATACATCAAATTTGAAAAGTACAGTATTTCTTTAATTATGATTTTTTAAGTATTGTATAGTGTTTTTATTACTATTGATTCTCACGCTTTTTTCAATACAGGCATTTGATGAATGCAATTAATCATCCAATCATGTTGACGCCAGATGCAAGATGCGAGTATAGGCTAGTTGCCTATTCTCTTGTAAAACACCATCAAAATTGCCAGTTGGAGATCATGGTTAACAAGAGGTTAGGACAAGAGCTTTCACCCAAAAAAAATTCTCAATGGTCTTGGATGGAAAGAATTCATGAGAAGGAGTTTGAGACAATATTGCATTACCAACATAACCAAACACTACCTCCATCGCAGTTGCCCCCGCTGTAGTTCGGGTCTCTTCCTCCTCCACAACCACAACAATAGATGTATGTGCAGCCACAGCAGCAACCACCACAGACACAGCTGCCATCTCCATCAGTTGACTACAGCAATACACCCGTGTCTTTCCTAAAATATAACAGAAATGCAGTCACACACGTCAAAGATTATGTATGGATATATACCAACACCTTCATTTATTATTATTATTTTCTTTCTTTTCAATTTTTTCTAATCTTTGATGTCTTTTGTGACCTAGGATCGTCGCATAACAAATGATACTATCGATCGGACTTTGAGCTCTTTCGTGTCAGAATTCATGCCTCTATTACATGAAGTTCTCACTAGGCTTGGTGTTTTTGTCAGACCTCTTCCAGTTACCATATAATGTGTGTTTTATCAGGCTTCTGGTTGCTTTTGTTGTGGATTTGAGTTCTTTTCTTCCAGAATTCAAGCCTTCCTCACCAAGCTTGGTACTTTTGTCAGATATCTTTCTAATTACCATGTAATGTCTGTGTTCTTCTATCAGGCTTCTTGTTGCTGTAAGAATTTGATTATTACTATTTTTTGGTTTAACTATCAGACTTGATTGTTATTATTTTTGTTATTAATCATATGCCGTTTGTATCCGTTGGTGACCTAACAGATGTAATATTTCTCACTTCCTTCTCTTTTCAGTTTATATGCAGTTTTGTCAATTATGTTGTATAAATTGTGGAGAATTGGTCTTGATCATTACTTTTGTCAATTATATTGTAGGTGTGTGTGTATGCATGGTAGTGGTGGTGGTGTTGTGCATGCCGAGAGGGAGGGAGGTGGAGCTTGTGTGTGTATGTGTTCAGCGTGTATGCATCTGCTGGGTGTCCGTCTTGGGTGTGTGAATGTGTATCAATATGTATGCTTCGAGTATAGTTTCTCAAGATGTACGCTGGCCGGAAAGGACGAAGCAGGTGGCGAAGAGCTTGATCTTCTTCACACCTCAACAGCGCTGCAATCTGTTATGGGGTTGGAGAAAATGGTGGCTTTCACTCACCCTTGTCTGTAATGCCTCTCAAGTCAGATGGATCTCTCTGTATCATGGAAGCTCTCAGTAGATCACAACCACCCACTGCACCACCACCTGACCCACACGCGCCACCACAATCCTCCACCACAATCCAATTTTTCAGGCAAGCACTGATCTGGGTATTATCTGAGTCTGCAAATTGGGTCTCCCTGGTTTCTTCTTCTCTCTGCTCCTCCAATGGTGTCTGTTGGTACAACCCATCATTGCATGAGAGTCCATTGTAATAATGCTGGTGTTGTTGAACTTCATCCATCTTTTGCTGTTGTTGTTGCCTATTGGTTTGTTGATCAGCATTTTGGTGGTGGTAGTACATGCTGTCTAAGCTTAGAGCCACTGCTTCTCTCTCATTGGTACTGTATTGGTGGTGGGCTGCCATTGTTGCACCACCAAGAAAGTCCTCAAGTTTAGGGGAAGAGTTTGGCACCATCCCTTTTCAAACCCAAAAAGATTTCAAAACATAGAACACAAAGAAGAAAAGAAAAAAGGAAAGAGAAGAGAAAAGAAAGCAAACCTTGTGGTGGTGGTGGTGGTTGTGATCTACTGAGAGCTTCCATGATACAGAGAGATCCATCTGACTTGAGAGGCATTACAGACAAGGGTGAGTGAAAGCCACCATTTTCTCCAACCCCATAACAGATTGCAGAGCTGTTGAGGTGTGAAGAAGGGGAGAGATAGAAGCCAGAAGGAAGAACTAGCTGAGGTTGATGATGATGATGATTGTACTGATGATGAGGGTTTGAAGAAACCTCCATTTTCATGTAGGGTGAGAGAGAGAAACCCAACCAGTTGTTATTATGACTATTGTTGCCATTGTTGTTGTCATTTGTAGACTTCATCTTCTTCCTCTATTTTCTTTCTCTCCTGCTTTTGTTCTCTGTGTTTCAAGGCAACTACTCAATCATTGGGGAGTACATAATAAACTAATCATTTCAAAGAAATCTCTTTGGTTTTTCCAACTCTTTCATATGTTAAAAAAAAAAAAAAAAACTTGGTTTTTTGTAGTCTAGCAGAGCAGAGAGCAAGAAAGAAATAAATCGCAAACAACACACTCACCAGAGCCGAGCACAAAACTCACTTCAATCTATGCACATCATCATTCTCATCCCCACAGGGGGCCATATCAGGACCAGCAAAATCCCCTTCCACCTTCAATATACCTGCAGCAGTGTTAGCCATTTGATTGTATAATAGAAAGACGAAGAGACCACTCCTTAATATGCCAATCATTAGCCTATTCAGATTTAAAATTATTCACAGATAACAATCTATATCTATATAGTAATGCTACCTAAACAAGTAAAGAAAGAAGAAGCGGTGAAAGAGTTGATTGTGAGAAAGCCATAGTTGGTTAGAGACCATCTTGCTCCTAGATTCACAAAGAAAGTTTGTAATGTTGACTATTAACAGGGGATGCCAAATGCTTTATAGGCAAAAAAATGTTGGTGCAATGCAAAGCCTACGAAGAAAGTAAATGTTGCTTTATAGGACAGAATTTTGCTAATTTTGCTGATGTGTCACCATCTTATTGGTTGTCTAGCAAATCCATGGTGTATGAATTAGCTGTGAAAATTTTGGTCTCAACCACAAATCAGATGGTGGTTGTTAACATGATCCTCATAATAATAACAACAGTAGTGTTATATAAATTAGAATTTCTAGATATATATATATATATAACAAATGATATGAATTTTTGTCATATTTTAAAAAATATCACCACAACATTATTTTTGTCAAAAATTTCGTATAAACATTCCATTCCATATGATTATCGTTTTTTGTATAAATACACATTAATATATATGGCAGAATGGTGCCGTGCCACGTTATGATTTGCCCAGCACATATTTTAAGCTCCTAGTTGAAGTTGGTGGGAAGATGATATGGCTTCCAACCGTTCAGTTGTGCCTTGGCAAATCATATCACTTAATCTTATTAATTCATTAAATACTTCAATAAATGTCTAGGATTGACGATGACAGTCTTAGGGTTATGGGTTCAAATACTTAGCAACTTAGGCATGATTAAAAATACTAGGATTGTAATATATTATTTAATTTTTTTTATCAAATTATATAATAAGATATTATTTATTTTTATTAAATATTTTAATAATGGAATCCAAAAAAATATATATTTTAATAATTAAATTTACATAAGAGAATTAATTATTAATATTCATGTAAAAACTGACACACACACACACACACACACATATATATATATATAAAATCAATCATATATAATATTTCTCTAAAAATATTAATCAGTGTGTCCAAAATCCCAAGCGTTTTTTTTGTGGAAGCAAACTAAATAGAAAAGTCCAACGCAACGAGGTTGGACAAAGACAAGTTAATTAAACTGTTTGAACTTGCTCTTTACAATTAAGGCCTAACAATTTGATTTTACTTCACAAAATCTTTTATTATACTCAAAAATTAATCATGTTTATATTTATTTTTGATAAATAAAAAAATGTTTAATACGCATATATGTTTTAAATTTTGTTTTGAAAATAATGGAGTAATCAAAAGTAATTGCTGACATCCGGATATAGTGTTAGAGGTGATTTTCGACAGAAGGAGGCAACCAAAAGTAGTTTCCAGCAAGATGTGGTTATCAGTGCTTGGAGGCGATTTCCGTCAATGGCCGATAGTTGTTAGTGACCAAAGGTAGTTGTCGATCATGAGAGATGGCTTGGAGGCAATTTCCGTCAATGGCCGATAGTTGTTAGCGACCAAAGATAGTTGTCGATCGTGAGAGATGGTGGCTAGAGGGGATGCTAGAGGAGATTGTTGGCGATTGTGGTCGGAGGTGGGGTGAGAGTGGCCAAATGTGATGCCTGATGGTGGTGATGAGGAATAGGTGGCTTGAAGGCATTGAAGAGAGAAAGACATTATTTTTCTAAACTTGTGAAACTAATTTGTTTTAAGTTAAGAGTTTAATAAATTTTGTAAACTACTAAAAATTTAAAAAAAATGAAAATAAACATCAAATAATTTTTTGTTTACAACTTTCAAAATTTTATAAATATATATAAACAAAAAAAAATCCAAGCTTAGTCAATCATAGTTTTTTTTTTTTTTTTTTTTAGATAGGAAAAGCAATTACAAAGAAATAGAAACCTCAAAAGCCACCAACACCAGTAAAGAGAGAGAGACCTCCTCCATCCAAACTCGTGGTGAATCAAAATCAAAGGCTAGCCTACTTTAACAATGTGTCACAGAATTGCCTTCTCTACAAACATGCGAGACCTATGAGGAATGGAATCGTAAGAGTAGCACCTGAGCAACACCCACCAAATGACCATAACAAGACTAGTTTTTCGTCTTGCCTTGAATTGCAGACACCACATTAAGAGAATCTCCATTAAATTGAATATTACCCGAGCCCAAATCACAACCCAATTGAAGCGCTTTTAGCGCATCCAATGCTTCCACACAATCATAGTTTGTTGATAATTGCAAAAATGTAAATGAGGACACGTGTAGTTTCGAACATGGTTAAGTTATTCTCACAATTACATATGTACAAGAGTTATAACTAACATTGTAAATGAGGACACGTATAGGCACAATGGTTGAAAGGAATCTTGAACCACTAAAGACCACTTATCAACATGTGAAGACCAAACTATATAAGGTTGACATGTTCAATTCATTAGGGAAATCAATACCCGAATCCTAATTCCTACCTTTCTTTTCAAGTTTTCTTCTCTGATTTATTTTTTGGAGGGTCTTTGGTTTACACTACACCAATACCGTGTGAGATTCACTACTTCTTTTATCCATTTCAAGTCATGACATCATCAATAGTAATTTAACCCCAAGTGGTGAGATATTAGACTAAACTATAATAAGAGAGACATTTTTTTGGGTCTATTTTCAATGGATAACAATACTAATTTTTTTAAATGACCTTTTAATTTTTTAATGGGTCAATTTATTTTAAATTAGTTTGGGCTTTTTAAATTTTTTTAGACTTAAAACATGCCTAATATATTATACTAAATTATAATAGGAGGAAGCCTCTTTTTTTAGTCTATTTTGAGGGGCCCTAGGTCATGGCCTTGTGGCCGATGACCCAGGGCCGGCCTTGATTTCTTGCAAATACAGTGTAACTCTGTAACTAGAAACAATGCCTATTGAAGCTCTGGCAATGGCAGGTGTGGATTACATGGAATGTGATATAGATCTCAAGGCTTGGGAGCGATGCAGACAAGAACAACCACCTTCATATCTTCTAGCAGAAAAGCATTCACGCAGTCATCAGAATGTAAAAAAAGGCACTATTGATGATAAGTTGATCATCATCAATGGTGAGTTGGTGATGAGAGCAAAAATTCAGGAATGGGCTAAGGCAGTGGCTTCTATGAAAAATGCCTCTGGTTTTGAAAAGAAAAATACATTTAGAGAGACTTCTTCTAAATTAGTGTATTAAGTTATTTATCTATTGTTGTTTCCTTAATGGTAAAAAAAAGAAAACTTCTAAAAGAAGTTTGGATCCAAATCCAAGTGGAATGTTGTATTTTCAAATCCATGTTCAAGTATGATCTGGGCAAGTTTGTAGAATTGATCTGCTTGAGGATATCATTGAAGATGCAAGAAATAACAAGGTAGTCTTGCTAGTTTTTCAATTTGTTTACTATGATCATAAGCTACTAATAGTGCAAGTTTACAGAAATTCTTCCTTATTTAACTTTTTGTTATTAGGAACCCTTCCTTATAATCTCAAGGCAGTGAAAACAAAACTACCTTGCTATTAAACCTTTCTCAATACTCTATGTGAGAACTTTGTGCTAAAATTTCTCTGGTTTGGTTAATTTTCTCTGCCTTGTTTAATTTTTTCTGTGGTGTTCAATTTTCTCTGGATAGATAAAGGGATTTGAATGTTGATCTAGAGAAATTTGATGTTAGTCCAGAGAAATTTGTGAAAGGGTCAAGGGTTTTTTATGTTAGTCCAGAGATCCAGAGAAATTTGAATGTTAGTTCAGAGAAATTTGAAAAAGGTTCAAGGGTTTTCGATGTTAACCTAGAGATCTAGAGAAATTTGATGTTGGTCCAGAGAAATTTGAATGTTCAGGGTCTTAAACCCAGAGAATTTCCAAGGATTGCTTTGTATGTTGAATTCATTATGAATATAGACATAAATATGGTTATTGGATCAAGTCTCTTTTTGTAGTATAAGAATAATGTTGGATCATGTAGCAATCTCAGTTTTGACCCGTCTCTTTATGGTGTTCCGGGCTCGGGTTGGTATAGTTTTGAACGGTGTTACGTATCTTAGTTCCCTATATTCCCCTTATTTTGGTTATCAGGTTGTAGCGGTGTGTTTGGAACAGGTAATGTCTCATGTTTGTATCGGGTTGTAGCATATCTTTCATATGTTTGCCACTTCGCTGACTATGTCAGGGATCGAGCTACCCGGTCAGCTTGCGGGGGTCCAAGGGGCAGCGCCTTGGTGGGGTCGAGGGACAATGCCCTCAAAGTAAAAATGCAAAATGCATTCGAAGTTGCTTGTCCACTTGAGCGGCCGTTTATGCGCTCGAGCGAAGAATGTTTGGTTCTAGAAGTTTGACATGTCTGCAAAAGTACTGGAAAAGTGTATTCGATGCTCGAGCGGGGCTTTCCATGCTCGAGCGAACCATGTTATATCAGTTCGTGAATATGATATTTCAGATCACTTTTGTATATCTCTCTCTCTAAAAACATTTCCTCTCTCTTTCTCTCTATATTTCTCTACACAAACTAGATCAAAAATCTTGATTTCTCAAGATCCATTTGAGTTTTGCCATTGCTTCTTCATCAAAATGGGTTATCATATCAAGGGCTTCGTTGTGTGCGGTGAAGATCAAG